TCAACTCGCAATATGGCATTTGCGAGATTGTTGGCTCAAATAATAAAGCTAAGAGAACAATTTTCAGATTATGCAATTAAGACAATTCATCTTGATAATACTGGTGAGTTTACATCCCAAGCCTTTAATGATTATTTTATATCAATTGGGATAACAATTGAGCATGTGGTTGCTCATGTTCATGCACAAAATGGTCTAGTGGAATCATTGATCAAACGCCTCCGATTAATTGCTAAACCAATGCTTATGAGAACAAAACTTCCCATTTCAGTATGTGGTCATGCTATTTTGCATGTAGCAGCAATTGTGCGGATAAGGCCCACAAGTTATCATAAAGTCTCCCCATTGCAATTGGCTTTTGGTGAGGAGCCAAATATTTTCCATCTTAGAATCTTTGGTTGTGCGATATATATTCCAATTGCTCCATCACAACGCATAAAGATGGGTCCTCAAAGAAATTTGGGGATATATGTTGGATATGAATCCTCTTCTATTATTTGCGGCAAGATTTTCTGATTGCCATTTTGATGAATCAGTATGACCAACATTAGGAGGAAAAAATAATTAATTGAAAAAAGAGATAGATTGAAATGCATTATCGCTGTCTCATTTAGATCCTCGAACAAATCAATGTGAATAAGAGGTTCAAAAGATTATTCATTTGCAAAATATTGCAAATCAATTGCCAGATGCAGTCACTGATCTACCAAGGATGACTAAGTCACATATCCCAGCAGCTAGTGCTCTAATTCGAGTTGATATCTCGGTAGGACAATCATTAAAGCAAATGAGTCTAAGCCACGCTTGAAACGTGGTAGATCAATCAGTTCTAAAGATAAAAATTCTCGAAGAAGAAAAGGAGCAAATGATCAAAGTGATCATAACACGGAGGTTGTGGCTCAAGAAGATCCCCAAGACGTAACAAATGATAAGACCTTAGGGGAGGTCCAGGTACCTGAAAATAATGAGGATGAAGAGATATCAATAAGTTACGTCTCAACGGGAAAAATATGGATCTGAAATAATATTGTTATCGATAACATTTTTGCTTATAATGTTGCTGTTGAAATAATACAACAAGATGAGGATCTTGAACCAAAATTGGTCAATGAATGTAGACAGAGAAATAATTGGCCAAAATGGAAAGATGTTATCCAGGAAGAGTTAACTTCACTTGGAAAACGTAAAGTCTTTTGACCCATTGATCGAACACCTGAAGGTATAAAGCCAATAGGGTATAAATGGGTTTTTGTGCGAAAACGAAATGATAAAAATGAAGTCGTTAGATATAAAGCGCGACTTGTGGTACAAGGGTTTTCGCAAAGGCCTGACATTGATTATATAGAGACATATTCTCTGGTAGTGGATGATATCACCTTCAGGTATCTCATAAATATGACAGTGCATGAAAAACTTGATATGCATCTAATAGATGTTATCACATCCTATTTGTATGGATCATTAGACAACAAAATTTTTATGAAAATACCTGAAGGATTTAAAGTATCAGAAGCATATAAAGGTTTTTGTGAAACTTGTTCAATAAAGCTTTAAAAATCTTTATACGGATTGAAACAATCAAGTCGTATATGGTATAATTGCCTGAGTGAATACCTGTTGAAATAAGGGTACAAGAATGATCCAATATGTCCTTGTGTCTTTATAAAAAGGTCTGAATCTGAATTTGTTATAATCGCTGTGTATGTTGATGATTTAAATATCACTGGAACTCCTAGGGAACTTCCAAACAGTAGACTATTCGAAGAAAGAATTTGAAATGAAAGATCTTGGAAAGACAAGATTTTTATCTTGGTCTACAAATTGGGTATATGAAAGATGGAATATTTGTCCATCAATCAACATACACCGAAAAGATTTTAAAGTGATTCTATATGGATAAAGCACATCCATTGAGTACCCCGATTATGTTGAGATCACTTGATATAAAGAAAAATTCACTCTGACCTTATAAAAATGATGAAGAACTTCTTGGTACTGAAGTACCATATCTTATTGCAATTGGGGCACTAATGTATCTTGCCAATAATTTCCGATCGGATATAGCTTTCTCAGTAAGCTTATTGGCAAGATTTACTTCTTCGCCAACACAAAGACACTGGAATGGTATTAAACATATATTCATATACCTCCAAAGGACCATTGATATTGGCTTATTTTATTCAAATGGGTCCAAGTCATCATTGATTGGTTATGCAGATGCAGGATATTTGTCTGATCCATATTAAGGTCGCTCTCAGACAAGCTATTTATTTATAAGTGGAGGTACAGCCATATCATGGCCTTCAACGAAACAATCTATGGTTGCTACTTCTTCAAATCGTGCAGAGATAATAGCCATTCAGGAAGCAAGTCGAGAATGCATTTGGTTGAGATCAATAACTCAACACATTCAGGAAACATGTGGTCTCTCTTCGAAAGGAAATATTCCAACAATATTGTATGAAGACAATGTTGCATGCGTAGCTCTCCAAAGAACGAGAGTCGGCTTCCAACATTAAGTTTGTTGTTCCCCACCCAATTTCTTATGTACACAAGAAGGATCATAATTCTTTATGTTTGGATACCAAACTATCTTATCAATATATTTACAAAAAAGCCTTTGCCTTTCAAGATATTGCGTATAAAGCTGGAGATGAGCGCTAGCCAGAACGAAATGGACATATGAGCGATCGATTACGAGAGCTCGACCGATCAGACCGGGAAGAACTGCGATCACATAAAAACATAAACTTTGAGGCTCAATAGCTAAATACATGGCAAGGGGCTTCTTGAATGGGATGGCTTTTCTGTNAAAGTTCTTCAATTGATCCATCAAGGATAGAAGGGAGCAGGGGTATAAGTAGGGGCTTCTTGAATGGGATGGCTTTTCTGGATGTCCCATAAATAAGGCCTCCAACTCTATGTTATAGCCTTCATGCCCTCGATCCGACGGTCCTCATTCTCCCACTTGGCAAGCTGCTTCACGAGGGGAAAGACCCATTTTTTATAGCCGTTACGAAAGCTCCCGAAGAGAAAGATGTCTTTGCTGCTTGACTGCGTGAACCAGGTCCAGGTCTTGCTGAAAGGAGGATGCATCAAAGGAGATAGAATAAAACACATTTCACCGAAATTCTTTTTCACTCATGATTTTCAAAAGAATGGTGAAATAGATGTTCAACAAGTTCGTTCAAGTGATAATTTAGCTGATCTGTTCACTAATGCATTACCAACCTCAACATTCGAAAATCTGATATACAAGATTGGAATGCGTCGTCTTTGAGACATCAAGTGATGTTTTCATCAGGGGGAGTAACTATGCGCTGCACTCTTTTACTTAACCAAGGTTTTGTCCCACTAGGTTTTCCTAGTAAGGTTTTTAATGAGGCAGCAAACAATGCATATCATATTATAAATAACTATGTACGTCCCAATATTTTTTTTAGTAAGTTCTTAATGAGGCACATTATCTTACATGGACATCCAAGGAGGAGTGTCGTGAATAGTTTGTAGATATGGATGCACATGTATGTGAATATCTTACGGATGAAATCTCCTACTTTATGTCCATTCCATTCACTATTTACGATAGTAAGTCTTCTCATTTTATGCCTATAAAAGACTATGTAAATTGTAATGGAGAACACACCAAAGTGAAAAAGAAGAAAAGAGTTCTTCCTTCTTTCTGTCTCTTCTTATTTAAATTTTACTGAATTGATTTTATTTTATAACATAAGCATATTTTTCATTCATTTATTCACTTTTATCTGAGCTTCCGCATACACGTTACCTAATTTTATTTATAGTAGAGCTCTAGGACAAAGTAATCCAACACTATGCTAGCGTTTGGCCATAGATTCCCAAATTTGTTTTGAAAAATTTGATTTGGTTGAATTTTGGTTTGAAGATAAAAATGTGTTTGGACATACGTTTTTAAAACATATTTCACTTTTTTTTCTGAAAAAACATGAAACATGACTTATACCTTCAAGTTCTAAAAACTATCACAAATACCCAGCAAAACCTTTATCAATAACATTCATTATATTATCGTAAACCATAGTCCTGAACATAAATAAATTTAGTACAAAATTATCACTTTTATAATGAACTACATAATACACTATCAGATGACCTAGAAGACGAAGCAACATTGTTACAAAATAATAAATGATGGGCTCTTTTATAAAATATAAAAGTTTGGGATAATTTTTAAAAAACGTAATAGTGATATTTTGGGCCAAAATCAGCTCTTGAGCTGGTTTTGGGATTTGGTTTTTGAGTTTTGGGAATTTGCCAAAATGTAGATAAAATTTATGGCCAAACATGTATTTACCAAAAAACCCCAAATATATTTTGACAGAATGTATGACCAAACTGGTCCAAAATATCAGCTTCAACCAGATACAACTCCATTCTACCACAAACAATCTGAAATTTCAATGCATCTATTTGGACTATATGACCTCGCAAGAAAACTGTCTCAATATTAAAGAAACAAAAACCCTCTATACTTGCGGGTTTCTCTAAGTCTCTTAATTAGCTAGAAGGCGTATAGCTTCACTACCTAGGATAATGTAGTTGTAAATAGTGGGATATGCTCTTAAAGTAGATCAATCCGAGGGATCGATAGTAAAAAATTAGGTGAATAACCTGTCAACTTCTCAAGCATCCTTCTAGTACCTGACCAGGGAATGTAGCTGAGAATCAAATGGTAGGAACAAGCTAATTGATTATGACGACCAAGGCACAAAATTGAACTAATGAAAGCTGGTTGTTTGAGAGACAAATGCAAATGCAGCTTTAAAGATTCAGCAAAGAGAGAATGTAGCAGCTCAAGGGTCTGGACTGAGAACCTCTGCTCATGAAAATATTGGAAGGGGATTGTATGGGTCATATATCACTTTTGCACATGAATGTGTTTATAAATCAACGTTTTTCTCAATTTAAGGGGCAAAAAGCTGGATGATTGATTAAAAGCTTAAGGATAAATTTACTTCAAGGAAACAGTAAACATGAGAATACTATTAGAGAAACTACACACGGGCACAACTAATGTTCTCATTTATATAAAGGGCCGTGCATTGAGAACTTTTCTCAGGGAATGAACATGAATTCAGAACATTATAAAGCAACAAAAAAGAAGAAAGAAAGTTTATCATGATTTAAAATCTGCTTGAAATCATTCACAGGCTGGTTTTGTGTCAAAGCTGCTCAAGCAGATCGCAAAAGCTTGGAAAGCAGAAAGTGGGTAGCAGTAGTCCATTGTGAAGATGTCTTTTCCAATTTTTCCGAACTGTAGAATTACTTTCTCTTGTTCTGCTACTGGTATATTGTGGGAAGGATCAACTGCTGCCACTAGCTGAAAGTTCTTTACAGAAGCCACTGTAACACGGCCTTTAAAATTTAAGCACCAGCACTGCAGTTGCTCATGCCACCGAGGAGCCTTGTTTTTTAGCACAAGTGGCTCTTGAGAAGCCACTGTTACTGCTGACCTTGAAAAGCCAGATGAGTTGATTTCTATAGCTGACTCCTTTGCTTTTGAGAGTGGTGCAGAAAATGTCTTCTCGTCAAACGATTGTGGGAATGATGTAGGTGTTGGAGCACTGCCTCCCTCCTGGATTGAAGACAGAGGGATAGAGTGCATGGCACAATGCATTCTCCTAGGTCCTCTTGTACGAAGAACATTGAGTTCATAGGAGATGGTAGCTACTCTGTAGTTGCACGCAGGTACTCTTGGAGAAACTTGCTTCGCATGAAATCTCCGACTAAGTCGACCACGTTGTTGAATGGCTGCATCACTTGGAGGTTGGCTATCATATATGGAGAACTTGGTCCCAAGAAAGTTAGACCTGGTCAAATAGTTTTCAGACATTATTAAGATAAAATTAAGGTATGTAGAAGCTATTCTTGGGGCTGAGGGCCAGCCAACTTTGCGGGCTCCCTGCCTTCCACAGTTGATGTGGAGGGTTTAAACCCCATCAGTAGCGTAGCATTCCCCTTCCCCTCTCCCTCCCACTATGTAATAAAACAAAAATTTTAGAAGAAAAAAACTTTTCTTTGCTTCCTGCTATTTTGAAGGGGCGGAGAGGAGTGAGTGAAGAAAATATAATTGGAAATTTGATAGAACTTGCCTCAGTTTGCCAGCATATGTATTGCTAGCCCGAGAAAAATCATCTGCAACCAATGAAATCACAAAGTCTGTGCTTGTTGCCCTTCTGATCTTTTTGGCAGCCAACAATAGTTTATCTCTCTCATCCTCAGCTGTCATGAAGTAAAATATCAGATTTATCTTTCACTGGCTAGGAAAATTTTCCAATGAAAAAACATAGACCACAAACATTAACCAGAAGTCATAAAAGGTTTTGCATTTCCGATCTGGTGTACTAACTTGAAGTCGGGCTAAAAGTAAGTTCCCCATTAAAGTAGGATCTTCAAATGTTTACAAGACAAATTCTGTTAATTAATCGAATACAAAAGAAAGCTTCAAGCTGGTTCACAGATAAGGAATCATTTTAAGAGGATATCCATTCTCACATTTCAAGTGTTAAAAGAAGAGAAGTTTAGGATAGGCAGAGGATATTACTTACACGGTGTCATGCCAAAGTAGAGGCGATAAACTGAATTAGCTCTATCCCGTTTGATAAAGCACTGGATTGGGGATTCACGGGGACCCGGCTGATTTAAAAATGGAAACAAAAGAATCACTTCAAAAGCTTAAATTAACATCAACAACAGCAATAAAAAGGAAATTTAAACAGATTAAGGAGATTACCTGCTTCAGTGAAATGGGAAAGGTAAGCCTACCACATTCCTCAGGAGTCTTAACAATATCCTTGGTAATTTCCCTCCAAGACTTGCAAACAGATGCACAAAAGACAATGACAGAACGAGCAGGCCACGATGCCTCACTCTCTTCAACCCTGCTGATGATATCCAAAAGAAGTTCCGGCGGTAAATTTGCCCATTGCCCTTGTTCAATGGGATCAGAGAAGGCCACATCAGGGACAATATGTGACCGGGTTCTGTTGCTCCAATGCTGCTTTCTTTCTGCTCCCCTTCTTGATATATTCCCTATCCCATCTTTCATCTCCCTCAGCTCACGAACAATGCTCTTAAATGACATTTCTATCAATCACATGAATTGAACCTTTCCTTCAATAAAACAAAGAAAAGAACTTTACCACATTTCGAGCATTGACTGAATGTACATGAGGAAAGAACTTTCCAACAATTTTCACCCTTAAACCACATCAACCAATCAATTAACTAAAACTGTATGTTCTTTAAATCTAACATGGAGGTTTATCCTCTATATTTTGATTGAAAATAAACACGTTTTTTGTTTTCTGTTGTGAGGGAGTAAAAAGAAGATCTGCAATAAGGTAATAAACAGGTAACCATCCAATGATCAGAACTGAAATTGCACAAATGGGGGACGAATAATCTAGCAAAAATTGAAATTTACATCATTCCTAGCACATCCACCATTAAAAATCAAAACTTTAGCACTCAAATGTTCCCAATCCGATGCACCAATAACAACCAGAAAATCAAAATGCACGTTTCCTCCAAAGAAAATAAAAAATGAGGGATCTCAAAAAAGCTTTCATTTTTACTATCTCCGCTGAGAAACAAAAAGCAGAGCCGACATGCAGCTAGGGAAGAGAAGAATAGAATAAGAAAAAAAAAAGGAAATGCACCCAGAAAACCAAAAAAAAAAAAACAGAAATGTATCAAAAACAGAGAAAATGGTAGAAGAAAACCTGAACAAAGAAGATGAAATGGATCAAATAAAGCTCCGGAATGTAGAGATCGAAAAAGGTTCGAAGATAAAAGGCGGTTATATGAGGTGAGATACACGTCCTCAGGCGGAACCCTTGATCGGCAAAGCTTTAGACTTTAATCATATCGCCGGAACCACCAGTGGTACCACCAATGAAACCGTCGTTAACTCCGCCAACAAATTGAAAGGAAAAAAGTCACGAGCTAGGAAGAGAAAAGGGGCTCCTATATCTGTGTGTGTATCTATCAAAGTTTTTCCCACGCCCAAATGTTTTCACGCCCTTAATTTGGATATTAAGTGTAGCCCCACCTCCCCCT